GAACGCACTGTTGAAACGGTCCGGCCTTTTCACGGTCCCACCATTTAGCTCTGTCTATTCTGGGGTTTGGTAAACTCTTTCTAGGACCACATCACCTCCCCCTTCCCCCATTGCTTTGCTCCACACATGAGAAGATTGGATGCCTTTCGATGGGGTTACCTTCTCCCACTCCTTCCTTTTAAGCTCCCGATAACGGGACAGCTCCTCTTGGTCGATGAAGAGAAGCGTTATCCCCTTGATTTTCTGGCCGAGAGCTTCAACGAACGTACGCGCGTTAGTTATGGAGCTCAGCTCAGTTGTTTTCAAGTTATGCAGTGACGCATGATGCTTCAGCACACCACCCACTCCATCGCACGCGCTTTTGCCGTGCCCTGACGCCGAGTATATCCACCTGCTGACGACAAACTTCTTCTGAAATTCGTGTAATTGGTGCCGATTTTTGAAATGGCTTGGAGCGCCGTCCGAAACATAGATCAGCTCCAAAAAAACGGGCACGAGTTCCTCGAGCCTGTCTTCAATCATTGTGAGCGCAAAGAGCGCGCGTGCAGAATCATGACAGGTATCGTCACTCACGACGCCGAAACTTAGTGTTCCCTTCGTGGTCGTCGCAACGCAGGTGAAGATTGTCACCATCTTGGTTTTCCAGTGGTATCCCTGCACTGCACGTTGGAGCACAATACTCCAGTTTTCGGCGAAATCAAAGTGGAGGACTACGACACGTGGCTTCACATTTGCTTTTTCAAGCCATATTGCTCTCTGTTGTGCGCGCCGAATATAATAGTGGGGTTTGTATTTCTTCGTCCACTTGTTGAGTTCGTTAAGAAAAGCAGTGGCCTCCAAATGTTTTTTCACCAACTCGCCACCAGATTCCCACAGTGCCAACTCCAGTTCATCTTCAGCGCTCATCCCTAGCATCTCGAGGGATATGTCCTTCCGGTTCGAACAGGCTTCACACCTCAGCAAGAAGCAGTTTTGGGAAGGATTTTCACAAAGAAACATTTTCTGGATGTCTTCAAAGGTCATGGTCTTCCCCGCCGCATTTGACAGAGATGTCAGACAGAGTATGAAGTTGGCGCAGCATACACACACACACTCTTCATGTACAGGGTGTTTCTTAGCCCACTTGGGTCGAAGAGAATAAAATTTTGTAAGGCCCATTTTTGACTCGGGATTGGCCGCCTTGAATTCTTTGTAGGTTTCCCTAATAGATCTCGTCATAAATCGCTTCGTGACGAAGACTTCCTGACCATCAATAAAAAGCCTCACGACATCCTTCTTGTTCGGGCTTTGTCTTGAGCAGTCTTTTGCATCTGATGTGTAGTAAGTCAACGCAAGAGCGACATCGTTTTCGTTGAGAGCATGTCCTTGGTATGGGTCAGGTGACGCCCAGACCCCCATTTTTTTTTCAGCTTTCTTGATTGGTCCAAAGCATGCTTCGTCACTTCAGGAATTGCTTTCAGGATATCTTTCTTTTTGAGGTTAGATGGAAAGAGAGTTAAGAGGCGGTAGCGTTCTAGCTGCGACGCGCTCTTGACGTATGCTGCTCGTAAATTGCTGACCCAGTCGGAGCACGAGGAGCATGGATCTTCTTTGTCTGTGCCCGTAGGTTCTCCGTACACGTCACTTAGTTTACGACCAATTTTCTTTTTGAAGTCCGCGGTTATCTCGGATTTTTTTCGCTTAACATAGCCGGTACGACTTCGTGGGGTCACGCTAGAAGGGAGTTTAAGTGGTGTCACACTTACTTCGGCAGCATCAATTGCTTCAGACACTCCTTGGACCAGGGCTTCCTCGTCAACGAATGATCTGTCCGCTGGTTTCAGGGATGATGACGATGAGCTTGATGACAACATTTCCGGTCCTTGCTTATGTTCTTCAATCTGACCCAAGACATTGTGTAGCAGTTATTGCACAGAACAGCTCCAGGGCTTACGCGCTGGGCGTCCTCAGCCGGTAGAACTTGCTTAAGAAAACTTTGGTTTAGCTCCGAGACTTGACGAAAATGGCGTCCGTAAAACACTCTTCTCTTGTGTCTCCTTGAATAGTCGGAGCACACTTTCCGGTCTGAACTGAATAATGTATTAGCCATGGCAGTAACGAACACTTCTGTCTTTCTGAAAGCAGGAGCAGTTTTAAGTTCATCCAGCTCAGACAGCACGGAGTTAGAATGAGTACCAGCTTTCCGCCGTGGCTTAGGAATTCAAGAGCCAGAAAGGGACCGAGAAGGCTATTATCAGTTAGACGACGTGCGAAGATTCGGCTTCCTTTGGGTCCCCAATCTTCCCGTCGATCCATACTTAAATATTCGCTCTCCGCCTCGCGCGTAATCTGAGTGCCACGCAGCAGCGGCGTCTCTTTTAGTGCCCGCGGATTAGTGGCACGGTTGTGTTAGAAGGACGAGGAGGGGAGCTTGGAGAGACAGAGGGGGGCTTGCGACGTAAACTCTAACCTCGAAACGCCTGCTCTCCCGACAATCAGGGTTTCCGTGTCGGTCGCATCCAAAGGCATAATCCTTAGAGGCTCCAGGACCCCGACGAAGATAGAGGCGGTAGCCGCGTGATGTTCAAGATAAAGTATTCTATACACGCCGCCTGACTAGGGTGGCATCTGTAAAATTTTGGAGCCGAAAGCAAAAGGCCTCAGAGGACTTCTCTAACGATCTGCATTCCCCCGTATTGGGACAAAAAGATGCGCTCGCACTTGTGAATACGGACTTCTAAGTAACTTTTTTTTAAGAGCACTACTCAAATTTTTTTTAATGTTTATGGTTGGATATTAGGTAACTGCTAATTATAAATAGAAAACCTTATATAGGCCAAAATTCTGCTCAGCAGAGCGCCTGTGCGAAGTCCCGTTCAAAACGCTCATAGCACGAGATTCGAGTCTTAATAGCGGCCATACAAACAATATATTACAATTTCTGTTGGTAGTTCCTGATAGACTACTATATTAACTAACTGTGAATAAAAAATGAAAAAAAATAAAAAGTGGGGTTTTTTAGAAAATCGACTCCAAACTTGCTAGTTTTTCGAAATATTCGTTTTTCAGGCGCATGTAGCGCAATATATACTTGTGGAAAAATATTGAAATTATACTCAAAAGAAAGAGCATAATTGGCGCTTTACGGTGGTATAAAGATCATAAAAATATGTTGATTAGGTCACACAGCACAGCTAGCTGAACTTCGTCAAATATCGTCACAGAGAGGTGGTTTGACAAATAAAAAAAAAATAATTAAGAATGTTATGACCTGGACGCTTAATTAGCATGAAAAAGCCTATGTCTAGAGTGTTCCCAAAAAGTTATATTGATGTAGCGTAAAAAGTAGGGAAAAGGGAAGGAGTGAAATATGGCACCTCCGATAGGCTGGAAAAACATCAATTTCCACCTTGACCGCTTCAACGGTCCATAACTTGAGAACAAAAAATCCGACGAAATAACCGTTTGCGTCTTCTTTTATTATAGGAATTGCCCCAAAACATATATTTTTTTCGTCAAAATTAAAAATTCGACCCTAAATCCGTGCCTGAGTTGAGATGAAACCACCCATATATATCTGTGAGATTCCAGCTTATATCGCGACCACCGGAAATGCGAGCCTCTAAGAAATCTGCCAATTTCAGAAAAAAAGGACCGCGCACAATATTTTTTTTTCGAGACAACCCGACGTGAGTTTTTTAAAAAAAGTTGCGAAGAAGAATATAAATAACTGAGCGCGCTCATTGTTAAACCTGACAATCAACTGAATTCTGGAAACATATCTGAGTGTTCGTTGAATGAAATAAAGCGGTCAAAATTACACAATAGAACTAGTACTCACGAAAACGTTTTCCTCGATGTGAGGATGAAATTGGGGCGCAATTGATTTCACGCAGTTCAACTCTTCTTGGAAGAGAAAGTTAGCACATATTAAATAAAACCGTAGTTTTTGTTCAAAATATACCTCTTATTTACGTTGGAGCAGTTATTCCCATCTGAAATTTAATCTGGCCTTTCGATTGCGCCATTTTTGGTCAATGATGTGATATAATATAGTTATATTGGTTTGGAAAACACTAACCCAGGTCGTTTTGCGTTGATTATTTTTGAAAAACTAGGAAAAAAAAGGCTGCTTTGCAATATTTGGAGCTTTATGCCGGTGCACTAGAACACTTTGAATACAATGTTGCTCATTGAGTTATCTGATGTAACGTCAACATAATTTGAACGCGCAGACATATTTGTTATTATTATTTTGTGTTGTATATTAAAGAAAAGAAAAGTAAATGCATCTCAGCACTACCATTAAACTCGCGATACACAGACTTCCCAACGTATTCTGAGTTGCCCAGAGTGGTGATTCGTTAGCTTCCTCGAGCTGGTCAGTCACACTAAATTCACCTAAATTTAGTGGACTCGCGTACCACTACGTGGGCGACAAGCGTTTTCCCGCTAAATACAGCGAGTAATTCAAACTGGAGCGTAATTGCACACCAATTCAGGTTTGTTTGTTAAAATAAAAGAGGTAATTGAATCGTGTGAAAATGGATATCAATTCAAATTTCCCCGCTTAACTTGAACGCAGAAGTAAATTGGCGGATTTAGCGGTCTTACCTTCCGCTAAACTTAGCAAGGAATGCGGATCGTTGTTTTCTCCGGTTGTGAATACACTTTGAGTTCTTCGCGCCAAATCCAGCGAGGAAATTCAATTTCTCTATTACTATACGCCTAGCGAGGTTCCCTTTATAAAAAAAGAAAACTAAGAAGAAATTAAATTGGTGTAAAATCATAGACGATTTCGGGTTTTGTTTTCCACTAAATATAGAGAATAGTAAGGAGTCCTATTTATTCGTAGAACATTGGTTGAGTATTGTGGAAGCCTGAACTGATTTCGCGGAACAAATGGCTACACTGCCCGAATATCGCCACTTTTGCGACACAACCGGAGGCATCACTCGCTTGTTGTTAGTGTGGACGGAACCAGGCTCTGGACGGAAGACGCGGAGAGTGCCCCCTGGCGTTCAAGAAGAGGTGAGTTGAGAGGCGGCGCCTAGCGTCGTCAGGACGGCGCAGAGCACCAGGCTCGCTTCCAGCGTCACCCGCAGCAGCGGCCCAGGCGGGGACAGGTTGTGCTGCATGGCGGCACGCGTCTCGCCTACGGAAGGTCAGAAACACAAAAATGAAAAAGCGACCAAGATGCTCAAATATATATATATATATATATATATATATATATATATATATATATATATATATATATATACATACAACACGGGCACTTCACGTCATCGTACGTGGTCTCCGAGGAGGATATGAACGAATATGTGCAGATGAATGAACCGTACTTAATCCAATGAATTAAAGAATCCAAGTTTTCAGGAACCCGCCGAAAGCCAAAAATTGGCTTTCGGCGGGTTCTGGCTCCGCCAATTTTTGGCTTTCGGCGGGTTCCTGAAAACTTGGATTCTTTAATTCATTGGATTAAGTACGGTTCATTCATCTGCACATATTCGTTCATATATATATATATATATATATATATATATATATATATATATATATATATATATATATATATATATATATATATATATATATATATATATATATATATATATATATAATATTTAAAGGACTTTATTGTAATTTTTCGCAATTTTTTTTTACGTTATTTTTTTGCCACTGGTAAACTTGAGCTTATTACAATACATTTGAGCAAACAAAAAAGAAAGCTTAACGATTATAGGAACATGCTTCTATAATCGGGTCTACTCTCGACTTGGAAGTTTGCTTCGGAATGTCTCGTAAGTCAACGTTCGCCTCTAGACGTAATACTGCCCTAAAGTTTAGCTTTTTTTATTTTTTTTATTTTTTTTTTTTGCAAAGGTTTATTTTCAATAGATATATCCTATCCAGACACTAGATAAACCTTTCTTCAGGGGAAGGAGTTCACTGTTTCCCTAAAATATCGCGGTCCGATGCCTGGCATCAAGATAAATATAGCAAACATATCTGAAAACGTAAGGATTAAACTCTGGCGATTCTGTACCACCTCGCCTCCGTAGTTGTTCTTCCTGCAATTATATTAAATACAATTTTAGAACAAGAGGAGGAAGGTATTTTAAAAAAGACATTAAAAATGTGTATCTGCCATGCGCAAGAACACCGATCATATGTTCTTGTAATTTGTATTCCGAGTAGAATAACAAAGCAAAGCCACGGTTTCAACAAAGATGTGCTCCTTTGCAAATATCTGCATTTATATGAAAAACTCAACAATGAAGAAACTATTAGTGAAGGTTCGTTCTTTTCTTACGATTGCGACAGGGACCCGATGACTGGAAACGACGATGGTCTGCGGATGTTGGTGGTCCTAAAAATGACTGATAGGACTCCAGCAAGTAGAGAAATATAAAAGAAACGTCTATTTACAGTAGAGATCGAATTGTTGCCCGACCGACGTTCTTCACGGCCCTCGCGCGTCCCCCTTTCCTTTTCTTTTTTTTTTTTCCATCTCTCGCTCGAGCCACAGTCGAGTCGCTCACTTTAAAGTCATCCTGAGCGAAAAGAAAGACGAAACCGAAACTACAGCCACTGTACCGAAACCCTGCGCATGTCGCCTCTCTGGATTTGTGGCTGTCGTTTACGTTGACCTTCATACTATTTTTATTGTTTTTTTCCAATTATATGTTAAGTTATTCTTCTATAATTAGTGCACCATGACGGCGCAAATTACTTACTCTAGGAATGTTCCGAATTCGTAAAAGAACAAATTGCGGAACTATGCAGTGCTCAGAGTACATCTGAAAGGATGTTCTCATCTTCTTTTGCCCTATACGTCGGTAAAATTTCACTGCGATTAGGAATTATAATTTATAACGAGCATCACGCTACTGGAGTTTGTTATCAACGGAAAAAAAATATCATAAAAATAACTACGCAGGTTTTGTCAAACAAATTGTTAAAATTAAATAAACTCAAAGGAAGAGAGAACTCAAACAACAAAGACAGTCTGTAACAAAACTGCTTTCGCGCAATCATTCATGAAGCGAAATGAGAAGAGAACTAACAATTGGAACGGGAAAAATAGTAAAAGGGAAAAAAATCTATCATAAATCAACCAAATATACAAATAGCGAACGCAATACATGCGAGCCAGTGAATTTTCGATAACGTTTAGACGTTTGAAGAAGACCTAAAAAATATTGGAGTACCGATATATCTTATTGCCGCGTGTGTGTATAAGCGTGTGTGGGTGAAACAAAAAATGTAAAAAGAGTCACCGTAGAAAAAATGTATATAACTATATATAATTAAAATAAACTTGGGGGGGAGGGGGAGGGGGAAGGCAGATATTTTGAGAGTCGAAATACTGTCTCATGCGAGAACTAGAGATGGATAACGTGCATGTATGTGCTCATACTCGAAGAAGAATCAGCGATAGAGGGAAAAGCGTGACATCTGTGGGAAAAGTTAAAGTTTAAAATAAAAAGTAAGCAATACATGTAAAAAAATTAAAACAACAGGTACAATTAAAGACAAAAAATTCAAGCAATATCCTTGAAAAAAAAAAAGAGAGAGACTTTGGAGATACAAGGGAGCAACCAAACTATAGATGACATGAAACAAGAAACACAACCACCAATGATTCAAGAATGTAAAATACTGCGGAATAAAAACGTTATAGTTTATGCCATTTATATAGATTTATAAACAAAATTCCCACATTGGGTCGAACTCATTGCTTTCATTCTATCCAATCAAAACCAGATTGTTGCATTAAAAAAATCAGAAAACATGCAACAGTGAAGAGGTTCTAATCAACCTTGAAACAAGTTGTGGAAATAAATGTAATATGATTTAATATAAATACAGTTCCAGCCCTTGCGTTTGTTCGTAATTGTAGTTGCATCTTTCCTTTTAGGGAACTAAGTAGGCTGAGAGCATTTTTTTTTAATCCACTGAAAGCTGAAACATGACAAGGGGGTTTTCAGTTCAAGTGACTATCAGCAAAAGGAGCCGATTTCTGATTATTCTTAACGGTTGTGAGGGCTTGGTGTTAATGGCCTGACAACTGCTGACATAGTCCTCTGGTTTTGAAATTACGAATTATTGCTAATTAAAATTGCACCACTAAATGCTGAAATGTATTTTAAAGTAACTTAATACAGAGCAAACATCCAACTTCACTCAAGCAACGGGGACAACAAAGCGTTCGAATTATCAGAAAAAAAAGTAATAAAATAGTAGCTCTTAAATGAAATATTTCAAATATTAAACAAATTCCTACTTGCCTTAAACTGAGCTGACATATATTTATACGATGGTGGATATACTTTTTTTTAAAAGAAGGATTGCGCAATTGGCAATGTTAAATACAAGCCCTACTCAGTACGTAACTGTTGCTGTTAACTGTTTTACTTGCTCATGTTATTTACCAGATTCGAGTTTCAGTGTGCGAGTCTATGCTTTGGTGCCCATCTGCCATATTACTTGTCTTTGCGACACCATTCTCACCAGTCAAAAAAATCCAGCCGAAATAGGGAGGTATTTTTAGCCGACCTACGGAAGGAAACCTTGAAGGAAGCCTTCTGCTTGTCTTAGTAAAGCACAGCCGAAATGTTCTTAAGTTCCCAGATGAAGCCAATTATCTTAGCGAGACATCAGCAACTATTCCGAAGCTCCCACACGCTCTACTTACAAGCTCTTGTCGCAAAGGATGACAACAAAATCCCGGTTCCTTGCTGATTCTTTCATATGAACTGCGGCAAAACCCGAAACTCTGCTCAGTGTTGCGCCCATTTACACTGCCATGGTAAAATTTAGCGGGCTTCCATCACGCTAAATTCAGCAGATTATGTTTATGCTGCACTGTTGCGTCACATGGCACCATGACGTCATGAGACACTAAATCCCACAAAATCTGGAAAAAAACATTTCTCGCAACATGTAGCTGAAAATCTTTTCCCGGATATTCTTACGAGTACCAGCAACAATTTATACGCTATATTTAGCGAGGAAATTTTGCCCCTGTGACGTCACGATGTGGCGGCACTGTGATTCTTCGCAAAACTGGGCGGAAATATTGTCCCGTTAACTATAGAACATATTTATCGCTAAATATTACAGAAATATTGCGACGTAATATGAAATGACGTCTCAATATCACGACTCGGTGATCTTCCTCCCGCCCCTAAATTTAGCAAAGAACTTTTTCCGCTGAATTTAGAGGGTTTCACTTAACTACACGAAGCATACGCAAGAGTTTCTGCAAAAACAACACAAAAAAAAACTATCACCGTAAAAGAAAAAAAAAAAAAAAAGATAAGAAAAAGTTTACCGTTCAGAACGTGCACGACGACCTTGGTTGAGTACGCGTTCGAGGGGCCGCACGTGTAGTTGCCCGAGTCCTCCGGTCTTGCGTTGCGGATGAAGAGGCTACTGACCTGGGCGTCCTGGCCTCGCTTGCCGCCCAAGATGTGCCCGGGTCCACCCTCTGCCGCGTCGTAGTTAATCATGCGGTCGTTGTGGTACCAGAACACGAACACCGGAGCTCCGGGCTGTGTTCGACGGCGCAGCTCACGCTGATCGAGGACCCGCTGTTGACGAACAGCTCGGGGGACTCCAGGATCAGGGCCCGGGGCACTGCGGTGCGGGAGAGAAATTCACGCGTCGTCACTTGTGCCGTCGTCATTCAGAGGGAACGTCAAAGTGCGTTCACGCTGGAGGGAATGATCGCGTGCATATGGCAAACTGGAGCGTGCGTTTCTTTGCGTGGATCTCGGATATACATTGCTCTACGCCTTCTCGATTATTGGGTCGAGTGCTGCGAGACGCACCGCATGACTGCATGGGAACTATGGTGCGTTTAGATTTAAGAGTTTCCAGTTGCTCGGTTGGAGTCACGCGGTTCGTTGGCGGAGTTTGCGATACAAGCTGCGACGGTCAGTCTAAAGCGTCAGTCGTCTGCGAACGTCTCCGCCTTGCTCCGTCCCTTCATTGCCGCTATCCGCCTCGCCTCCGAACACGCCTGCATGTGCACCCAATCTCCCCAGAAAGCGTACGCCACTAGATTGCAAGCGTTCACCATCACTCAAGTTGCCCCCTCCCTTAAATCTTGGCTATCCTACGCTAAACTTGGCTTTGGAATGGGCTTCTGTATACTGAGCTGTTTGTACAAACATAGCATTTCGTAAAGCTCGACTTTTTCTCATTTGCACATATAACACTTGCATTATGTTTTTCTTTTGGCGGGTGCCCGGATTATTCCAAATGTATCTGCGATTTTTTTTTAAATTACGGGTAAACCCCGGGTGTGACCGCACCTGGGTTATTCATAAACCAACGTATATTAAATCATACTTTGGTCCCTTTAATATTTGCCGTTCTAAATCACTCGGTTAAGTTATAAGTATTTAGGTCTGATTTTACTTTATATTGGAAATACAACTCTCTTCAAAAAATTAACTGAATTTTCGATTATTTTGTTGTTGTTTTCTTGTTTTTTAATTGCAAGTGCTATGCTATGGCAATGCTTGTCACTTACGTTTTTCTGATGTGCGTAATATATCAATTAAGGCTTAATTTACTTTATCCTGGTTACAAATATATTTGCCCACGAAACTTTAAGACTGAATGCATGCAAGACGCAATTAGAAATATTTTGAACTTTTTTAAAATAAAGGTTATGCGATTATTGCGAACCTATAGAACTTGTAACCCTTAAAGTTTGTAGATGTGAAGAACACATTTTTTTTGTAAATCTATTCCTCACAACACTGCTTTTATCGGCAAAGAAAAGGAAACTAGGACGCACAAAAGATCTTTCTGGGTCCCATGGGTAGCCGGAAACAAAATTCCCCAATAAGATCTCCTTCAGTCAAGACATTCTTCCGTGTTTCAGCGAAATCAAGCCCCTTCTTCGTCTTTCAGCGTTTCGATCTTTCAAAAGCCGGTTCTGCGAGACGAGTCTTATCTCCCTTTTTTTATTTTGCCAGACAAAAACGACCAAAATTACAAAACTAGATATTCAAAGAATACTTATTAGTCTGCACAGAAAATTCTGAAAATAAAAATATAGACGAATTACGAAGGAGTTAATGCGAAGGAATTCATATCTTTGCCGTACGACAGTGCCGAGAAGAAAGAGGAGAACGACTGCAGAAAAGTATAATTATAAACTCTCATCCTTCACACGCCCAAAATGTATCTTCACAAAAAGACTAAAGTATATTTCTTTTTTTCTTAAAAAATCCCTACCACTTTTGTCCCGACCAACTTTGGTCGGGACTAAAATGCTTCCTAAATACTTAAATCGATAGAAGCGCCTGGATAGAACCGCCCCTTTTTTTTTTTCTTATGAAATGATGAAATGGTCGAAGAAAATATTTGAGCAATGCTTATAATAAGTCAAACCCTGTTCATTCCTTGTTGCTACCATAAAAAAAAAATGTTTGAACAAGAAGACAGTCTAACACTTTAACGTGCCGGAATTTCAGTGCGCGTGGAGGTACAAAATAGGAATCGGGCCATCGCTAAAATGCAAGAAAACGGTCAAGTAGCTTACCTTCTCCTTCGTACTATTGTAGAGAAAGAATGATGATAATAAACTTCTTTATATGTATCTAAATATTTATATTGGGAGTTCGATCGCGCCATCTTATGAAGCTGTTCGGAGCCACGATGCACAATGTCATGTCTCGCGAGGCTTTTCCAAAAACATTGTTTATCTGGCAAATATATCTTTTTTGTTGTTGTTGTTGTTGCTATTTCATAAAACACGTCCGCTAACTTTTTTTTTTTTGTTCTTGTTTAATAAATACGCCGATATTTGTTTACTGGGTATGAGCTACGTAAAGCACAAAATAAAGACATCCCGGTGCTAGGCCACCAAAGAAGAAAGATATGGATTTTTGAGGCATCTCCTCTTCGAAACTGGGTCAAAACATGAAAACTTCGAAGAAACCTCGTGTACTGTCGTGTAGAACCTGCAAATATGCGACCGGGTTTCCCGAAATGGCAGTTGAAGTTCAAGGTCAGGGGATCGGAAGACAACCTACGCATCTGCAACAATATTGTCCCGACCTAAGCTGAACAAAATACATAAAAGGAAAGGAGTCGTCTTTACTGCGTGCGTCTATAAATATATATATGCCCATTTATTATTTGCGTCCCGACATCGCAAGACTGTGTGCAGCGTTTTTATATAAACGGTAATATCGTATTTAAGTATATTTATTTGTTGTGAATATTGTTCCATCTGAGGATTGAAATGAAGGTATATTTTTATTTACGTGTTTTGGTAACTACACTGCACCAAGTTTAGGGAGTTGTAAGAATGTAACTTTGATAGAAGCAATTCTTTAATAGACGAAATTTGTGCGGATAATATTTGGTTTTCTAATTTGGTATTTACTTAAAAATTAACATCGATCTGAGCACATTTCTTTGACAGTTCACAGCATAAGTACTCAAGCTCAGAAAAAAAAAATTTACTTGTTCGAAAATTAAAATACCTTTGGAAAACAAAACAGAAGATCTAAGCGTCACTTTTAATACGTAACCTAATAATAAATGTTAAATTCAGTGCGCTTTGATGTTTTCCATTCAGGCAAGATGCCACCGCATTCTTAGCTGGGCGGCTACACTGGCACATAAAAGATTAAGCATCAATGCTGTTGGGTGATTCCACGTCAGTTCATGCAATGATGGTCCGGGTCATAATTTAGATATTTTTGTTAAAAATATATGTGAAAGCCATGTTCTTGGGAGGAACATTCAGCTAGATATGAACGCCGTAACAATTTTTTTCGCTGAGAAATAAAATAGAGAAGCTTGAGGCGTGGAAATTGAGAAGATTTCACAATGCTACTTTGCACAGTCGTTATTTCCTTATCGAACCTTTCACGGCACCATAACTTTTTTAATAGGTTTTACAAAGGTTATACAACACATACATAAAAAATTAAAAATATCCATAAAATATTTCAATGCAAACAAAAATATCAAACATGGCACAAAAACGCGTTTTAGAGACATATTCATAATTTGTTTTGCAAATAAACCATCTTTCATAGTACTTCACAAAACATATAAAAATGCGCGTATTTAAATATTCTTTACGAATATATAAAGGTAATATGCCCACCCTTAAACATATTTTTGTTATCAACGCGGAAATTCGGCTGATTTCTCAAAATGTGGCAAGATTGGGCGTCGATATTTAAAAAACTCCATCTTTTATTTTCTTTAAACTCCCCTTGGCACTTTGCAGTGACTTGAACTAACCTGTGATGGCAAAAGATTGAGTAACATATGACCTCCAAGCGGGAAAAGCTACGACAAACCTTCACTCGGAGCGAGCCGACGTCTTCGTCATAGCGGCTTTGCCGCACAGCACCAAACGTTTGGGCGTTAGTTATGGCATGCATTTTATATTATTAAAATTCTTTTTTATACGCGGTGAGTATTAGTGACGTGAAAGGGAGCTTTGAGCTGGAATGCCATTAATTAGCTTACAATTCACAGGCATAAAACGGCCCCACTCTGCAAATTCGCTACCTATGCATCATTCATAAGCTTAAAACTCTCAGTTGCGCGAATGGCCATGTATACATCTGGCCTCTCGGCATATGATGACTTTCACAGATGAGTTTCCTGGATTCCTTAGACAGGTTTTACGGTGGTCCACTTTGCTTGCTTCACTGCACGAAACTCTCGAACTCGAAGACAGTTGTGAGCACTGCGCAGAGTGGTTTGACGCTTTTTGCGAAGTGCTGAAGGCATGTAGCTCCCACCAGGAACGCAAGCGATTGTACGTGCTTCTGCCACCAATCATCCTAAAGAAAACAATACTGCGTCTGGTGTCGGGTGCGACTGCCTACATGATTGATCAAACATAAAAACTGAAGCGCAAAGGTGGTGTTTGGGCAACCCCCCATCCCTACATGGGGAAAAAGGCGAATGCCGAAGACGTGGGGGTTGCAATTGAGTACTACACACGCGACGACCTCGCATGCTCTGTTCAAAGCCCCGACAAAAAGGACGTCGTCAAAGCCATGATCAACGACATGTTCAAAGTCGTAAAAAGGTTTATGACCCGCTCTATTAAGGAAGCTTACCAGCTGTTTAGGAAGGCCAATCCCCAACCCGAACTAGGCATCTCCAAATTTTATTCCCTACGACCAAAATGGGTAAAAAAAAAAGTCCCGAGCACGAGGTGTGCGCATGCATGTATTGCGTCAATTTTCAGTTGCTTTTAACGGCAATAACAAATGCCCCAAAGAAGACATTTACTGAAGACGACATCAAGCGCATCTACCTCTTCTGCGCTCCACAGAACGATTGCTTTCTGCGCCGTTGCGAAAAGTGCCCAAAAACGCAGTGCATCTCGCTGCAGTCGCTTCATCTCGACGAAGACCAAGAGATCTGTTTCGCATTATGGGACGCTGGCGAACTCGTCAAAAAGGTTATGGACACTTCTGCCTTCCTGCGGCAATAGGAGAGCGAAAAGTATATGAGGCATTCTTACATCCTTGACCTTGAACGAAGCCTGATACATGACACAAGAACCGCCTTACCACCCAAGGCAGTGATGTTCCACTTCGATTTTGCGGAAAAATGGACAGTACTCTTTCCAACCGAAGTGCGGAGTTTTCATTGAAAAAAAAACTCAAGTGTCTCTCGCCACAAGTGTGGTTACGTCCACGCAAGGCACGCAAAGCTTTGCCGTTGTCACCGATGGTACACGAAACATGACACAGCTCACGCTCTTCTAGCCACATAGGCCATAAAAGAGTATGTTAATGTTCATTTCCCAGTCTTTTTTGAAATAATTTTTGTATCAGACGGAGCGGCGGCGCATTTCAAGAATCGCTTCCAATTCCACGAATTGTCTCGGAAGCCGCACTCTTCGGCAAGATGGATCTTTTCAGCCACTGGACACGGAGAAAGCGCTTGCGATGAAGTAGGTGAAAGAACCAACGCTCACCAAGTTGAGATCTTCGCTCAACTCAACGATTGCCACCGCTAAAGACTTTGTGGAAGTGCTACGTAAAAAAGTAACAAATGTCTGCATGTTTCACCTGTCTGTGGAACGGGTTCGAGAGTTTCGTGCGGTAAAGCAAGCAGAGTGGACCACCATAAAACCTGTGAGAGGAATCCAGGCTTCTTATCTGTGGAAGTCATCATATGCCGAGAGGCCGGATGTATATATGGCCACTCGCGTAACTGAGAGTTTTAAGCTTATCTATGCATAGTTAGCGAATTCGCACAGTGGAGCCGTTTTGTTCCTGTGAATTGTAAGCTAATTAATGGTATTCCAGCTCAAAGTCCATTTTCGCGTCACTAATATTCAGCCCTTATGAAAAAAAAATTTTAATAATATAAAATACATGCCATAACTAACGCTCAAAACGTTTGGTGCTGTGCGGCAAAGCCGCTATGACGAAGACGTCGGCTCGCTCCGAGTGAAGGTTTGTCGTAGCTTTTCCCGCTTGGAGGTCATATGTTACTCAATCTTTTGCCATCATAGGTTAGTTCAAGTCACTGCAAAGTGCCAAGGGGAGTTTGAAGAAAATAAAAGATGTAGTTTTTTAAATATCGACGCCCAATCTTGCCACATTTTGAGAAGTCAGCCGAATTTCCGCGTTGATAACAAAAATATGTTTAAGGGTGGGCATATTATATTTATATATTCGTAAAGAGTATTTAAATACGCGCATTTTGATATGTTTTGTGAAGTATTATGAAAGATGGTTTATTTGCAAAACAATTGTGAATATGTCTCAAAAACGCGTTTTTGTGGCATGTTTGATATTTTTGTTTGCATCGAAATATTTTATGGATATTTTTAATTTTTTATGTATGTGTTGTATAACCTTTGTAAAACCTATTAAAAAAGTGATAGTGCCGTGAAAGGTTCGAAAAGGAAATGACGACTGTGCAAATTAGCATTGTGAAATCTTCTCAATTTCCACGCCTTAAGCTTCTCTATTTTATATCTCAGCGAAAAAAATTGTTACGGCGTTCATATCTAGCTGAATGTTCCTCCCAAAAACATAGCTTTCATATATATTTTTAACAAAAATATCTAAAATATGACCCGGACCATCATTGCATGAATTGACGTGGAATCACCCTGTTTTAGTCCGTTGAGCGTGTGAACAGAGTGATGTCTCTCATTCTCCATTGCCTACGTAGCTTCAGTGGCACACTCAGCTGTCTTTCTTGCTGAGGGATCCCAATATGCAAAGAAACAGAATGAGAGAAGGAGAAAAGAACGCCGGTTGTCGTCAGAGCACCGACATTTGATTGGAAGGACAGTTAGAAGACTCACGGTGCTTTCTGCCTTCGTCCCCCTCCAAGCAGAGCGACCCAGCGCGTCGTCTGCTTCTCGACGAGGATCTGGGGTTCGGCGTTCGGCACTCGAACGCCAGACCCTGGGTTCTGCTTTGTGCGTTTGAACGCTAAAACCTCTGCGAGGAGCTGGCAATGCTTTTGCTCACTCCGCTTAGAGAGATACGGTGGGCCAGATAGAGCTAGCCTTTGTGCCTACTCCCTTCAGTGTCCTTGCTATCCGAGCCGGGCGCTCTGACATCATCAAGCACTCCCGTCCCCTCCTCCCTCTCAAATTCTCTCCGCTACGACCTCCCCCGGGGTTCTCACCGAGCACGGTGAGGCGCACGAAGTAGAAGATGAGCGGGCGGATGTTGATCTCGCACTCGTAGTCGCCGGCGTCCGTGGGCTGGGTGCGCTTGATCTGGAGCATCCAGTCCTCGGAGCGGTCCATGTGTACCGCCTGGAAACGCTCGTCCGCGGTGTACGTGGCCAGGCCCACCGTGAGGACGTGGAAGTCACGTCGGCGGTTCCAGGACACCTGAGGAATGAAAAGTCTGAAATAAGCTTATTTAAAATATTTTTTTTTAGATTGTTGGGCCTTCCTATATCATTGTTTATTAAGAAACTTATACCCGTATTTTTCTGCTTTACTATATAGAGACACCTGATGAATCCTTCATAGAACCCATCCCATGAATCCGGTTTTAGAGCGCAGCTCTTAGGCGCCCGTTTCCGGCTTGAGCGGTGCTGGCGTCGGCGTCGTCGCCAGCGTTGGCGTAAACGTGAGTTCACGTGACCCCCGTGAGGTCATGTGATCCCGGTGACGTCACGCGACCGCCGTGAGGTCGCGTGACCCCGGTGATGTCTCGTAACCCCCATGAGGTCACGTGACCTCGGTGACGTCACGCGACCCCTGTGAGGTCGCCTTACCCCAATGACGTCACGCGACCCCGGTGGCGTCACGTGACCCCCGTGAGGTCATATGAACCCCGTGAGGTCACGTGACCCCGGTGACGTCACGGGACCCCCGTGACGTCACGAGTGTAACCTGATTCCACGGTTACTCCGACGGTGACGGCGACGCCGCTCGGCGGGAGGAGTAGCAGGCAGGATGAGGAGGGGAGGAGGAGAGAGGACGGGATAATGCTCCCCTCAGTACTCTTCCCTCCTCCTCCTTAAGAGCTGCGCTCTGATTCGGTGTTACAGGGAGCTTTCATTTTTTTGTTTTCACTGTGTAACGGTAACTCAAAGAAACAATTAAAAAGGGAGCCTTGAACTTCGTTTCAACTAAAGTTCAGACGCAGCCGATGCTACGAGCTAATGGGTCCATTCGACAGCGTCAAAAAGCGCCCCATAAAGATGTTAGTTATGTTTATATACGAGTTCAATCATCACTGGCCCAATCATGTACAGGAATGTCCTAGTGAAGCAACTTGGTTGGTATCATTAGCTCGTAGCGTCGAGCGCGTCTGCATGTCAGCTGAAACGAAGTATGGGCTGCATTTTCGTGTGGATTGGTGCGGACTGCGCATCGGGCATTCTCAGTTCGGCATTTTTTCTCAATTCGAGGCAGCCGCGAACTTGCATATTCGCTAGAGGATTAATTGCTACCGGGCAAAAGTCAAGTGTGAACACAGCATTCGTGCAACAATTAACCGCTCGAATGATGTTGATGCAAATAATGCAATGGTGTCGCGAGGCATTATTATTGGTAGCCGCTTGAAGCCGTCAAAAAGTTTTAAAAGAGGTTATAAGTAGGACACTCCTATTTTATAAAATTCAGAATGGCAACAAGTTCAACGAAATATTTTCGCACTCTATGAACTAGCCTTTGAACATTCGAATAATAAAATTGCTGTTAGTCAAATTTTAACCCGACGCCGTTTCATGCCTTTTTTATAAATGTCGAAGGCCACATGGACACTTCTGACTCGCTTGTCTCTCGTGTAACGTATCGCGTTAATCTAGCGGGAAAGATGCACCGGAGAACGAGTACCATACGAACCCGTCGCCTCTAGGGAGTGATTAGTCCAGATATCTCTGTCGAGGAAACAAGCAACACTCGGTCTCTCAATGTCGCTGATCCATCAAATCAACTCGACACGTTCATCCGGCGTGTGGCAAATTAGAACTCGTCGAGACAACTGCGCCGCGACAAACACGTACGCATGGGAGCGCACATGTTTCATTTCTTGCCTGCCGATATTTTGTGGCACATAATGGCGTATTATAGTACATAAATTGGACATTTGAGTCTCTGCTCTCTTGTGATCACCTCTTCCATGCGCAAAAAAAATATTTTTATTATTGAAGCTGGGATTAGAGGTTAAAAAAGTACTTATTATGAATGAAACACAAACTAGTGAAAGAGTGCCTATTAGAACCGCCAGTCTGAAAGTCGCATGAGTAGGTAGATTGAATTTCGTTAGTCGTAATTTGATATAAAAAAATAGACATGCACTTACTTACACAGTTCGCTAAACTGCTCCCAGATATTCTAGCTGTTCACTGTAACTGTAACTGTTCGATAAACTGTTCAGATTTTTAACGGCGAACGAGATTGTGTAAACTATTTTTTTTTTGGTACTGTGTTCTATGTTTGAGCGTGCAGCCGTCCTTCAACGCTGGAAAATACTTGTGCCTACATAACACGAACTAATATGTATTGTAATCAATTTTGACAATAAATGTACAACTTATTTATTTAAAAAGAAATTATTACCCTTCCTAATCTTTTTTGTTTTATATAGTTATGTGTAAAACATAACCTAGAGAATTTTCTTTAAAAAATTGACTAATGTGATATATTAAAAAGTTGCAAAACACTTCAAATTTATTGGAAATCAAACAACAACAGAAACGAGCCCGAGCTTTCCTCACTAGATATTCGTTTTTCCTTGGACCCAGTTTTTCTTTATTAAAAAAAAAACATTACTTTACAAATAATTATTAATAAGGCGTTTGTTCACTTTATCTCTCGATTTACCGTTCATAATTTTCCCGTGCCTTTATGTCACCATAAATACGGGTAGAAAATATCGATCTCAAGAAACGCAAGCTGATGCAATCACGACGGTAGCCCGCGCCTTTTTAGGAACAATTCTGCTCCTTCACTTTTACGCAGTGACGCTGAAACATCACGACACTGCAACTTTTCAAGAAGTTTTGATTTTTCTCAGCACCAGAAACATCAGAAATTTCGCTCCGTCCTGCGACCATATATTGCCTCACTCTATGAATAACACGCACACAGCAAACCGTTCCCTATAAACAAGCACCGTCTTGACAGGCAAACATATTCCTGTCACGTATCACCCCACACCAACGTTGTCCCTTCACAAAAGCAAACACAGTTTGTTCTAGTATATATATTTTTTTCATCGCGTGAATGTTCGGAAGGCAGTGCATGGATGATGCTACAACCGCTGACCTCAATATCGATGGGCCGCTGCGGAGTGCATGAGCGAGAAACCCTTTCCGGAAAACAAAAAGCGGCCAAGGCGGTACGGCAGGCTTTGCGGCGAAGCCTCGTTGGGAAATCCAGGGGAGCGAAACGTTCGCACGTTTCGCGGACGTGACTCGGTACAGAGTACGACGACGGACAGTTTGACCTGCACTACGTCCTCGCAGTCCTCTCCAAGTGAGAGGCTTGCGTTGCCGTTTGGTCGGTTTCAAATATCGGTTCTTCTAGTAGCACCTGTTTGCTCTGCTTTTTCAAAGACAGCAGAAGGGGCAATCTGGGACGCGAAGCTTTTTGGAATAGCATCGTTTCCCTGTGTTCTTGAGACCATCACCGTAAAAGCTCGGCGTATTGCTGAGGTGTCGATTTTTGAGGACAGTTGAATCGCTGGTACGGTTTTTCCGTCTTGCTTTTCCATGTGCCTCTTTCAGAATCTGCTTTTGCTTGGCAGTTGAATGTTGGTATTCGGGATTCATTGTAAAAAAAAAAACCTGCGGTGAAAAGGACCTAATGAATTTTGTTCACCACACAACGAGGAGCGATAATTTTTGCATCAAGGATGTTCGAAGGGCCACTTTATTGGATGAACTTAATCACGTGCTTAACTGGACTAATTGCAAAAGTATGCCACGTAGCCATACAAATGAATAATATATTTTATAAGAGGATGTGGTGTACTGCATAATGTACTTCAACCTCGGAGTGCAGGGCCTGCTTTTTAATGGGACTTGTTCGCTATTTGCGTGTTTCAACCTAACAAATACTAAATAGGTTTCTTGCTTTTTTTTTGCGTCCATGTAAGATAGCTAGCAACTTAATTCGGTTGCCTCGCGTACCTGGAAACAATTTTTTGTGCTCCTTTGAATACCCAAATAAATTAAATAAGCAAACACCTGTCACCGCAGAGTAACATCTTAATTGCAAACGAGAACATTTTAAATATTAATCCTGGAAACCATAGACGATCGCGCATGTCATCCTATATTGAGGCATGCTAAGTAGCTCATCTCTGCAGGCTAAGACCGACACACACAACGCTATTCGGTATTGAATAGAAGCCTGTTTATTATTTTACAAAACTCCATTTAGCGTCCCTGTGGTGTATATAATCTTAGTTCCTTTATTCTTAAATGGGGTAATAAGCACGGCGTTCCCTAGCGTCGCTTAATAATTTATGATGATTTCATCTCACTGACACGTTGTTAGAGTATTATTAGCGCTAAAAGAGTGAAAGAAGACAACCTTTTTTTTTTGTACTGAACAATTATTTTCTCAAAGTTCCTCAATTGTAACGATGCCTATCTGTCTTTACATGAGCTCACATTATAATACGACGATAGCATGAAGCAGCTCTTGTCTCAAAAAAACCGACGTCGGTGGCGTGACGAAAAAGTCCTAATCGGTCAATAGCGTCGTGACATCAGAGCCACATGGCCTCGCGCGCGAAATTCGAACAACCCACGACGCGAACGTGAAAAGATGCGTCACACGTGCAACGAAAGTAAAACATGACATGTAGTGGGTATGAAAGCTTGCCGCCATGTCTCAAGTAATTTCACTTTCTCAAGTAAGTTCTTGGCCTCAAGGAAACTTTTGAAGTATTTTAGGTGGGATTTGAACCCACGACACTTCGGTTGGGAGCCAGACATGCATTGGCGAGGCCACTCAAGGCACGCTTGCACGGCGAATGAGAAAGTTCGCATGATGAGATCTTATTTGCAATTTTCAGTCGCGACGTCGCTCGGGGTGCAAAATAGTGAACCGTAGCTGAGATGATCGACGTCAGTACTGAAAATTACAAAGAATCGGACCAAGGTAATCAGACATAAGGCTTTGATGGCCACTGGTAACAATGATTAACATATCCTTGTATCTACTGTTTACATCGAGCCTGTTTACCAACCTTCAAACCTAAGTCTTTTGAGGCCTTCACTTACTTCTTATCCCAAGTACTGGTCCAACATTTGGCCTATGGGCCGGTGTTGTCTAAGAAAGCAGACGACAAGCAGCAGCGTATGAAAGAGCAGACGACAGTTCGAACAAACAGGCGGCCGTTCGGACTTGAAGACGCA